TTGATAGCAGCATTTACTTAGGCAGAACACCCTTTTACCTTACCTGAGGGCAAAACTGATGCATGAGATTGCCATGGCCTTTGCTAGTTATGCAACTGGCTGAGATATAAGTGATTTTTAAGATGTGCAACTTTCTGGTGCTAACAATTGTTGGGGGATATGATCCTACACACAATCCTGAATAAGGCCACCCAGTTTAACTGACAGACGTTGCACACTGGGTTCTGAGATTTGACTAGAATGAGTGCCTTAGTAGTGCCGGGATGGCGACAATACATGCTTTAACATCTTCATGTTGCATTCATACAGATCATTAAGGAAAATTCAGAATGGGAAAGTAGAAGCAAATGAACTTAGATTCCCCATCAGAAATAAGTGATAGTTTTAGAATATATAGTTAAAAACTCTTACAAGAAGATATATTGACTTATGAATAATAATTACTGAACTTGCAAGGAGTTGCAGTAATTCCTTTAAAATTATGGCGCTTTGTAAAGAACATTCTTTTATTTGTTAAATAGGGGAAACACTGCTTCCCTGGTGCTTTTGTTTTTCACTCTGGACTGTAGCAGTGGAGCACTTGCATGTCGTGTTTGATGCCTTGCATGATAAAGACATGCAAAGGCAAGTTCCAGTCTGCATGCTGCTTTAATGAATGTTTTCCTTTTCTCTCCTTCCCTGTTATGTGCTTACAGAAGACAACTATGTGGAAGGTGGGTGCTTTCTTACCTTATTTTCCTAAGCTCTTGTTTTTCCCCTTTGTTTAGTGGTTTTTTCCCTTCTGCTTAATGTTATAAAAGTACACATAACATTCAGTACGGTAAGTTGCATTTTTTTTACCTGTAAAGGTATACAAGTTTATTAAATGTGTGATTTCTTTTTCCATACAGAACACAAGCAAAGCCCTATGTTAATCTTGACTATATTGATGTAATTCCTGAATAACTTCACTAAAACAATATGAATATATCACTCTATACATCCTTAAGGAGACCTGCAGAAAGACTGATTTCTACTCATGTTCTGTATGAAAAACACTTCAAGAAAATATTTTTTCTTCAACGTGGAGCATAAATCCTTCTCATAAGAATGGAATGCATGTGAAATACCTGTATTTTGGTTGCTTAGGAAAATGGAAAGCGCTTTTCTCCTTAGTCTTGCTTACTGTACTCTCCTTTACAGCACAAAGTTTTAGATAAAAGCTTTATCTAACTTTTCAACACGATAAACTCTGCCTTTTGGACTTTGTGAAAGAAGAGTTGTGATTTTAGTAATAGTGCTGGTATGTAATTAAGACCCATTAAAGAAAGTGCGTCACAGGGCACTGGAAATTAAAACACAATGCTTCCTAGCCTGAATGTTGGTAAGTATGTCCATTACCTGGTAAAACGTGTTTGAGTGAGTTTTACACTTCACAGATCAGTTTTTGTTAGGAGTCAGTACTGCCCTTTTGTTCATGAGCCAAAGGGTGCAGGTGCTTTTTAAAGTACAAGATCTTTAAAAATCCTTTCTTAATCTTTTCATATGTAATAAATTGCTATTTAAAAATGATTTTACCTTTTTAAATGGAATTATAACTTTTTTTTTCCCAGTAGTTTAAACACTTTCTTGTAATATAGGATTTGGTAAGCTGACATATGTGCAGTGAGACTGCCCTGACACTGCTGTGACCCAAAGTGCAGGAGACAGACACCATTGGGCCTTAGGTTATTAAGGATTCAAGGCAATCAGAACCACTGCCTGTCTGCTCACTGGCAACTCTCTTAAAATGCCTGCCAATATCAGTACCATGTTTCTCTATGCCACCATACTGAAAGGCAAAGTGAGATATTCAGATTTAGCACATACATGATGCTGTGCAACTTTATTAAAAATACATGTTACCAGTAAGAGAAGATTTAGGTTATTTTGATGCTTTAATTGCATGCAATGTCAAGAACATACAAATCAGTACAACTCTGTTTTCATTGTGAAATAGAAATTTATTCAACAACACAGGGATAGGATTTATAACTCAGAAGCACAAAAGGCAAGAAATAGGTAACTAATATTATGTTTGACCTGTGCATGAAATTCTTACTGGTGTCAACATGAGGTTCGATTGTGAATTAAGATCATTACAACTAGATGAGGTGGTTCAGTTTCATTTCACATACTCACTTATGCACAGCAGTGCAAGATAAGACCTGGGTAACACTTAATCCGGGAGTTGCCTGAATCTAATTCTTAAAATTGCACACTTACATTTATTCCAACACAAGTCTGGATACATATGCATACATTAGATTTGCAAAAGATGTATATCTAAAGAGTGGAAGCATAGAACGTATATCCTAATCAGAACTAGGAAACTAGCAATAGTTTTTCATCTTTGAATTCTGTGATATCTGAATATTTCCTTAAGTTAAAGAAAAGAAAGGAAAGGATTTTAGTATTCATGAAGTGGAATTTGATGGTGTAAAAAGGTTACATTGTACTCATTTTGTTAAAACTGTGCTAGGGTTGAACATGTTCACTGCAAGTTCACCATGTTTAAAATTTTCTTTGGCCTGTGCTCTGCATGGAACTTACACACAAGGTTATGAAAATAGCCTCTCTTCATGCTGTTTTCCCCTATCCCATTTTGTGCCCCTCAACTTTCGTGCCAAGTTCAGTATAAATATGAAATGGATCACACATGCATACAGGAGGTATTCCTACTGAATCTTTAATTTCTAATTCACAAAGAAAAGGCTTTTATCAATCTGATTATGAAGGAATGGTGCACAAATGAATATTATTAATGTTTGGCATGCCTATATGTGGCCTGTCAAAACTAGATCTTTCTGTGACCATCTACTGTGGTTGTCTCAATTATAAGCACACAGTCATGTTAAAAATCTCGCAGTGATTGCTGTCATGGTGGGTTTATTTGTATCATTTTAAACCCCTCTACAGAGTAAACAGGTACAGTAATAGCAATTCTTCACTCTTCCACAGTCTTCATCCATAGATTGAAAAATATAAAATGAGGTAAGTAACATTATATACTCATAGCAAGTAAGTATAAGTAAGCTTGCTGCTTCAAAAATAAGTAGCATACAAAGTGAAGCAAAATGCAGTGCCTGAGAACTAGTACTACCTTTTTTTAGTTGATGGCTGTTTGGTTTGAGCAGTGCGCTTTTTTACAGTCACTGGCTTCCTATTTTTAGTTGAGCAGCACTGTAAGTGACTCTTAAAATTCAAGTGGTTTCTATGATGTTTTCAAGAGGCTTTTCTGTCATTGTGTTTTTTTTTTTTCCAAATTATATAAAAATCACAAGTTTACAACCGAGCATGCTCACATGCAGTATTACTAAAACTAGTAGATATCAAGCAGTGGTCATCTCCTGAAGCTCAGCTTTTTATTTAGGTCCTTATAACTATAAAAGTCAAGCTAGGAAGAGATTACCTTCTATTTTTCCGCTAGGAGTCACAACAGTCTTTACAGTTTGTGTTTTCAGTGTGTCTCAGTTGCAGCTATGCTAATACAGGAAGAACAGCATTTAGGAATATTTCTCCTAACTGCAGCATAGCCGTGAGGTACTTACCAGTAATGCTTACATAGGCATCCCTTCAGTATCACATTCAGCTCGTGCATACATTGGTGTGAACCTCGGATCCTCCCAGCAGTTACAGAGCACTGTAATTTTAAATGAATCTACTGCTCAAGATATGGGGCACATCAGGCCTTCCGGTTCAATTTGCCTCCGGGAATGGTGACGCTAAAAAGCACTCATTCAGCAAAACCTTTGTTAGCCTATTTGAAACATCACTTGAGATCTTGAACTGATGTGAAATCTGATTGCAGTTGGGAGTATCTTCTTTGAAATACCCCCAAGTACGATGAGTCATTTGTGCACCTAATTTTCTTTGTGAAGTAGAAATCACAGGAGCTCTCTAGGAAATCTGCTTTCCAATAAGGAGTAGGATATTTTATTGCACACCTTCTTTGTGTGAATTAACTATAACTAATTGCAAATAAGAAAATAATGTATCATTTTTACAGTTGATGGAGAAGATAAGCACAAGCAATTAAGAACTTCTAAAATGGATTCTAAACGATTTAAGCTCAATAAGAATAAACCTGATGTGAAATGTGGAAAGTCTTTTTTCTGTACAAAATTTCTTCCTTCAACATGTTATTCTCAGTGAGGATATAAGTATCATTTCATTATTGTGTGTTAAAAAAGATGAATATTTTTGGTTAAAGATTAACTAAATTTGGCTCTGGTTGAGTGATTATCATTACGGCCATCTGTTTTGAAATGTCACTAGATCTATAGTGGTATGATTGGATTTGATCTCAAACTACCAATATAAAGCAAAATGTATTTCTCACAGATTTATGAAGCAAATTCAGAAGTTGTCACTTAAATTTTCTGAAATTTTCTTTGCTCTGTGTTTTGTACTGCATATATAGTAATTTGCTTCCTCTGGAATGTATTCATTCTACTCTCACATTTCACACAAATAAGGAGACATCCCTTGCATTATCATTTCAATGTGATAAATAAATTTTGTTTTAATTACCTGAAATGCTCATTTTTTATGAGGGGAAAAAGACCAGACCCAGCCCATTTTTCAGGTTTACACTTTCCAGGTTTTTAACCTTTTGTAAGTTGAGGACAGGAAGCCCTCCTCCCAGCAAAGTATTCAAAGCAATATCATGAAAATACAATAAAGACAGATTATTAAAGGATTTGGTTGGATCTGGAAGCATTCTAGTATTTTCTGCCATCCCAACTATTGCACAGAAGAAATACACAACAAAACAGTACCCAGTGTTTGAATTGCAGTTCTATTTCTCATAGCCCAAAGCATTCCAACCAGTGGCTGAAAAATGCTCTTTGATTTCTGTCTGTGGTACAGACATCTCATAGGAAACAGATGCCTGTCACAAAACATTTTTGTCACTGTGACAACACCACCTTCCCATGCTCCCTTGTTCATTGCTGACTGTGCTCTTGTTTCCCTTCAAGGTCTGGCGCACCTGATGATGGGCGACCAAGGTATGGGCTCTGTTCCTTTTCCACTCTGCTTTCATTGTTTCTTCTTGTTCTGTAGCTGCTTTAAATCCATCACTGCAAACGATGGGCAAATGCTTGAAAGCTGTCTTTGGCTGCAAATAAACACATGGTTTTAGTCACATCTTTCCTTATTTCATTTTTTTTTCTTTTGTTTGCTCTGTAAGCTTTTGTCCTTCCTGCCTCCTGAACTCCCCCTCTCGCAATATGATAACTGAAAAGAGGTGAGAGAAATAAGAAGGTGTTTAAGAAAATGTCATGTATTTATCTGAAAATACAATAACGGGTGATTCTATAAAAGATAAATGAATCGCAAGAGCGCTCTTCGGAGTTCCTGGGAGAAGATACTGAGCTTGTCACACTGTACGCCTTGAAGAATGCATTTACCTTAATGCATGGCTGAGTGGAATTTGCAGAAAGCACCTGCTCCTGGCTTCTGGAATGCTGAGAGTACAATTTTGCCACCTAAAGAAATCAGTGGCTTTTCTTCTCCTAACTCATTGTTCCCTGTTACTTTTCTGTCACTTTTTCTTATCTAAGCATGGGTTATTTCTGTGTTTCGCTGCATGTACATGACTGGAAAAAAAAAATAAACTAAATCTGTAATATGACATTGATTGCATCTCCATTTGTCTTCAGACCTTAAACTTTGTCCCTTTTCATGTTTAAATATTAGTGCATTTACATATAACTCACGACTCTTACTGTTGTTTCTCTCCTATTCTCTTATTCTCTTTTTGTCTGGAAATGCTTTCTTCATGGAACCATTTCACCAAATCCATAGGTAAAAGTAAAGGTATTACATGATTTTCTTTATTTTTTAATGCCATCAGTATACTTTAATGTATGTCTAAGTAATGCAAATAAATGTAAATCTTTTTGCACTGAGGTAGGTATATTTTAAGTAAATATTTCATGGATGTTGAGGTAAGGAGAAGTATCCAAAGGATAAGCTGTTGTTTTTAATGGTTGCCTCCTGGTTTTGCGAGAGATGTAACATGTGGCAGTGATAAAGGAGGCTACAGTTATAGAAAGCATTCAGAATGAAATGACAACCATGTTTTGAGGTATGCATTTTTCTGTTCTCAAAGAATTGTAGTTTAAACCACCAGGAACAGGAAAAAAAAAAACAACAAAAAACCCCACATAATGTTGTTCAAGAGAAATTATCTGGAGATAATCTGTCCAGGGCCCGTACACAGCTCCATGTAAGTTTTAAATCCCAACTGACTTCAGCAAGTCTCTGCTATCAGGTGGTCACTTTTGCCCTGAGATTTTTCTTGTAAGTTAATAACTTTGATTGTATCTGAGACAAGAATTGGAGAAAGGAACAATGAAAAATGAACGCCAAAGTGAAGTGTGGGTTTTATTTCAGATTTTGTTACTCAGTTTTATTTTTTGATGTGAACAATGGCAGCTATATTTACTTCCTTATTTCTGCAGGGAACATGTGAAGTAGGGTCGAGACTTTTTCCTGTGTAATTAAACGCCATGTTTTGCTATGAGGATTCATGCAGACATCATGTCCATACATTCTTATGATAAGAAGTTGGTTTTTTAATGTTTGTATAATCTGTGTTATAGAGTAATGATATAGTGCTGTTTATCCTAAGTTCATGTCAGGGTGTGCCAACTCTTGGTAAATATCAGAAAGCCAATTTGTGTCATAGTACTTCGCTAACTATTCAAACTAGAAACAAACTTCCATGTATCTTGCTGTCTTGTCTGATGTAGTGTTTCCAAACCTAGAAAGTACATGTGATGCAAAGCCTGTAGTTGCAGTCCTGTAGTGTCTCCTTCCTCATATCAGACTTTCTGGAGATATTACTTACTTAGCTATCGCCAGCAAAATATTAAAGGTTTACGAGTGTTCTGAACACATAAATCTTGCTTAGGAAGTTTTAAGCAAGTAGACTAAAACCTGGTTTATTTATTTCTTACAGGATTCTTTTGTTTCTTACTTGGTTGATCTTTTTTGCGTTTTTCTTAACAGTACCTTGTACATATGACTTCCTTATTCCTTATTATGAATACTTCATTACATAATGATAGATTTTTTTTGGTGGAGTTACCTTAAAGTGACTTTTTGTAGCAACCAAATCTTGACATTTTTGATCATTTTTGTTATTATTAAGGATTATTTTTTTCTAGCTTACTCTATACACAGAATAATATACACATCAGTGAAGGGTTTTTTTGTTGTTGTTATTTAAAAGGACGAAAGCGTGTAAATATGAATAAATGATTAACAGTTGATATAGAAAACAGATTTTAGAAAAAAATATCATGCAATGGTTGGGCATTTTTTATTTTTATTTTTAAAGGCTTAACAGTTATATTCACAAAAAATGACATTGGTTATACTAGCTACATTTAATGTGTAACAATGTACTGCATGACATAAACACCAGTCACCTATCATCAAATCAGTCTACTGCATTTTTCTTTTCACATTTACTATTTTTACTAAATTTTTCCTTTTTTGTGAGATTACACTGCTATGTTTTGATAACCACAGTGCTTCCTCTTTGCATATAGTAGTGTATATCTGTTCAAAGGAACGGAAAGGATTTACGTGTATACAAAATACACTTGCCTGTAACTGAAAATATGTCAGTATTGGACCATGTCATCAACCATTATTGACTACGTTAAAGCTACATTATCAAACATAGGAACTGAAAACAGCTGTGATGCATATTTATAACGTGAGAATATAAGTAGTAGGAGAGTGATGGAAAGATGAGACAAAAGTGAAGCTTTGCATTGGATTCATTCACACTCATTTCAGTCTTTCATTATAATTTGAATTCCTTTATTATTCCTTTATTGTAAGGTAAGGTCAGTAACAAAAGTGATTTGGGGATTCAGAGTAATTACACCATGAATTTATCTTCAGCTGTAAACATAACCAATAAAAACATTAGGAAGTTTTAATATGTAATTTGCTCAGAAGTGTGTAAGTGGCTGAAGCACCACCTGTTTCTTTTCATAGGTGTTATGTGAGATTCTGGGGAAAAAAAGTATCAATGTCCCTACAAAATGAGATGCCTCAAAGACAGGACAGTGACAGGCCAGAGTCTTACTGTAGACAGAGGAGAGAGAGGTGAGGCAGCCTTTCCAAGTGGGCACACTGTACAAAATCCAGTAGCATCTCACTGGATGTACCTGCCATTTGTCACTTAGCTGCATGTATAGCTTGAAATACTCCAGATAATTTCCTGACAGAGTTTTTATTGAAGCAGTGTCGATATTTACAAAGCTGTCACTGCCTCCTATAGAAAGGCAGAAAAAAGTTGGGAAGATGTCACCATGTTTACAAATGTCTGTCAGTATTTGAGGTCATACATGCATGTGCAGAACTAGATGACACAAAGCAGAACATAAATCCCAGAGCTTTTGTAGCAGCCATTACTGCTTGAAAATGCTAAGCCTAATTTTATAAAGAAGCAGAGACTTTTAATTGTACTGGCATTCATTTATTTTCTGATAAACTTTCTGTCTCTTCAGAAGTACCAGGTTTTGTTGGTTTGTTTTCTGGAAATCTCCTACCTGTATATAACTATAGCAATAAGCATGCTGCAGCTGTACTGGTAGAAAGACATGGGGAAAGCAAATCTTAAATGTGATCGTCGCTGTTAGAGTGATTGAATGTATTATTCAGAACACTTGTTTGATTTCAGAGAAAACAAATGCTTTGCCATCAGAAATTTTGTCTGCCTTCTCCATGCTGTGTAGGAGGTCTAATAGCACAGTCATTTTCACATATAGGTTGTACATCATCAGAAGTTTAGTACCTCCCAGATTTTATGATGAATGGCAATATAACTAAGATTACACAGCAACTAATGTAAAACACTCAATTGCTTCATTTCCATCCTATCCCTCCCCCTGATTCTTTTGTTTCTCTTCATTTTCTTTTGATGAGCAATAAAATGGTTTTATAATTCAGTTACTACAATATAGTGACATGTATTGCTTCCATTTTTCATTGCAATTCTCCTAAGCTTGTACACATTTTTACCTATAGTTTAGTTCTGTACAAATATTCTACTTTTGACTATGTTTATTCTGTATCTAAACATCAAGCTCATATTTCTGTTCTATTTAGAAATAATATGCAGCTTTAAATCACATGTGAGTTACTCAGGTCCATAACAAGCTATGAAATGATACTTAGCATAGCAGTAATGGTTTTACTGAATGACTGATATTACAACTTAAAATTTATTGTGTTAGATTACAGGCTTATGATGTGTTGGTATTTGGTGTACTGCATGTAAATGCTTAAGATGGACCTCAGAATGTCAATATTTGTGTCAACCTCCTTGCCAAGAAAAAGTGAGTTTTGCATTTGCACCAAGAATCATACTGCATTTGTAAAAGCCAAGTGACTCCACTGGCTATCTATAACAATGGAATTTTATTGATTATCAGTTGTATAATTCAACTGACAACTGAAGGCAGTGGGAAATTACAATAATATAAATATTTATACAATCATGAGCATTAAAATGATATGGTACAGGTAAGAAGTTGTTTGAGGTCATGGTATACTACGTGTTTCATGCAATACAAACAGCACTTTATGTCAGTAACCTCCTTTATCAAATTATGGGGAATTGTCTGAATTTATGCAACCATATGTTCACCCTTTTTTGATTACTGTTTTCAAAGAACTAAGACAGTTTTGGTCTCCTACACTCTCTGAAACTCCTGGGACTGCTGAGAAGCCAGTGCTCACCTGTTTTTGTCTGTGCTGCTCCAAAGTGGGTCTGAGAGCCATGCATCCTTCAGCCTTCCAAGGCCTGTCACCAATAGTCCAGAAGTCATGTAGAAGCCTTGGTATGGCACTGAGCTGTAGCATAGATTATTATTTTTCTTTAGGTGCCCTGTTGACATGGATTCAATTGTATGTCTTCTTAAATGCTGCTGGCATTTTTGTTTTGGCTAGAGCAAAACATGAACTGAGGGCTTTCTTGACT